TCTCGTGCCCGTCCTGCATTTGGGATGGTACAGCACCCATTCCAACATTGTTAGCGTCCGTATCTAACACGAAGTCCTCCTCTCTTCTTTGATAGCTGAGCACCGCAGCCGTAACTGGTTGAGATCTTGAAAAGCCCGCTTGCATTCATAATCCCAATTTGAAATCTTTAAATCTTTACAAATCGCCGGTAGTACATGCGTAGACCCAAGAAACTTGTATTGCATGTTTATCTTTCGGCTTGGACCATTCTTGTACTGCACGAACTTTGTTGCACTTCTTTGTATTCGGTTGAAGCACAGCGCAACCTCATAAACAAGTCTTCGATATTCTTAAGGTGGTCTTCAAACGTTTGGATAATCACAATTACGTCGTCCAAATACACAAGGCACGTTTTCCAAGGTAAACCTCTCAAGACCAGTTCCATTAATTTCTAAAACACGTCGCGGGAGCGTTACACAAACCAAAAGGCATGTATGGATGTTGCTTAATAGTTTGGGCATCTGTCGTATTTATTTTGAGTGACCATATTGCTTAACCGACAAGTCATTTCTCTGAAGCAAACACGTCTTGGTAGCGCCGTCGCGGAAAATTAACCTTTTAGCTTGTTGTCAAATTCTTCCATAAGGCTGTGATCATAGCTTTTCGGGTCATTTTGGGCACTTCAAAGTGTCATCACTCTTGACTGTAATTACACAACCCACGACTACAGCTGCTGGGGTACACGTCCCAATCAGTACCTTTCCTTAACTTGGTCGGCAGTGAGTTCAAATTCATTAGCGGAACAGGCGTTAGTTGTTTGGCATTTATTGCCAATAAAAATCGCTCGATCCATATTGGTATAATTAGGTTCCATCACTCCCAAAAAGTTTTCCGAGAGACTTCCATTCATGTGAACCATCACAACTTTCTCGCAACACTCCGGCAGAGTGGCATCATCCACAAGCATTACGCGTGGCAGCTCTCCATTGTACAGGTCTATGGTAATCCCGAATTTTCTCAGCAAGTACATTCCTACAATCACCTCATCTCTGCTACCAACACTTGATGCGCACCTTTCTTGAATCCAATACCAATATCGATCGTCAGCTCTCCCAGTACAAGAGCACTCAGGTTTTAGTATTAATAAGGGGTAACTTTCTTCGCGCAATACTCATTGATACTTTTAATCTACTCGTCCGAT